TATGTTATATAAGGAGAGGTTATGTTGATATTTGCTGTTTTCTTTGGGATTGTGTCTTTTTTTCAAAATGAGCTTGACTCTTCTTGTAAATTAAACTCTCTTTTGATATACATTAATTGGTCTAGTGCTAATTTTAGGAATGATTATTCCATCCCATTCCTTTTACCCTATTCTGACTATCTACTTTTTCTTCAATTATGTTTATTCTATTATTTGATTATTTAAGATTGTTTAGGATCTAGTAAAGGAAATTTTGATCACTTTCACTTTCAGGATAAGGACTTTCAAATCTATCATACTAATGTTTTCTATAACAATGTTTTATTGACTCCTTGTTATTACCAGTAGTAAAATATTGGGGAATTTCTATTGTTTTAGTAGTATGTTGCCTTGAAAATTATATCTTTTTCTTTTTTCCCTCCTTTCTAGATCTATTTTTTTTTTAGAATCTCCTTTTATTTCTGCTTTATCCTTAGATGTTGTATACCAATTGGCTTTAGTATTACTTCTGATATCAGTTTGACCCAATTGTTTTAAGTAAAGTTTGACATGTATAGTTCTGAGGTAAACTTTCTTGTTATTATTTTCACTACTTTCTATATATGTTAATTCTTCATCGTATACCATTTCTTTTTCAAAGTGCTCTCTAGCACTCTTGCTAATATGATCTTATTTTTTTTTAGAAGAGTTTTGTTCTTATTTAAAATGTTTTTTAACATTCCAGATGAGTTTATGGCCATGAATAAATATATATTGTTTTAAAGTATTGCTCAAATCTTGTGCTGATGGGAAGCAAATTATTGTGTAATTTCTTCTTTTTAGTGTATGTGAATTTTTAGGGATGTAACATAATTTGGCTTTGACATATTTGTCTACTCATATGATTAAACCAGTGGTAGTATTATATATTCTGTATAGTCGTAAGTGTTGTTTTTTTTTTTTTTTTTTAATTATAACTCTTTGTCAGACTAGTTATATGTGCTTTATTAAACAATTGTAAGCTGTATATTATACATGTGACGTTAAAGCTAATTCTCTAACTAACTCACTCAAAGTCTTATATTTATCTAAGACTTTAAGTGCAACTTCGGAAGTAATTTATTGCTCTGCTAGTAGTTCAGGTGAAAACCCTTCCAACTTCTAACATCATTGCCTGCAGGTCACTACTGCATATCACTGTACGATATTTGGACAAGGGTCAAAACCCCAACCACTGCATCCCATATCTAATCTCATTTCTTACAATTTCTATAAGGTTCTTGTTTTCACTCTCTTTTACTTCTTCTCTTTGTCCTGTACTTTTATGACCGGGATTATCTTGCGGATCTTGCCTTCTTGCTTCCTGGACCTTCTTGTATTTTGCTCTTCTATTAATTCTTTGTTCTTGTTTCCATTCAATGATCTTTTCACATCTCACGTTCCTATAGTCGTAAGGATTGTGAATTATGTTATTTAATAATTCTATTAATTTCATTATCATCAGGCTTATATTAGGTAAAGATAGCTCTGATAGTTTCTGTATTGATATAAATCCTTTATTCCTTCTCAAGGTTGATATATTCCTTATAAGAGATAATACATATCTTAATTCATTATTGGGATCATGAATAATTATAAATATGAATATTTATTATATGTCCATATTTATTGAAAGCAGATTTGATTTCTTAACGTAAGTGGTTTAGTCAATATTTATAAATATAATTACTAGTGAGGTTTTTTCTTCATTTTTTGTTTGCTGAAAAACTTTTTATTTGGTGGTTAAATAGAGTTTGATCATTTCTTTATATCTATAGATATAATAATAAAGTTTTCTTTCTCTTTTTTATTAATATTTACAAGATATTGTAATACATCTTTCTTCTCTTTGTAATAGAATATTGTTCATATATTATTATTGATAAATTCTTTTTTAAAGGGTTGAAAATCTTTTGACAAGTCTAATGTATCTTATAAATATGCTATTTTTTCTATTTCAGTTTCTTCTAGGAGCCTGGAAGTAAATTCACCCATTTTATATTTACTATCCACCTTGATATAAAAAGGATTGATACTGGATGTCTTTGGTCTATTTCTTGTCTTATATGTATATTGCTCAGTTATATTGTCTTCTTTAATCTTTTCACTAATAACTTTTATTTCAATTATGTGTTCAAGTTCCTTATCTCCTATTTCAATTTCAATAATATTTGGGATTTCAACTGTTATAGTTGTTTGAACTTTTATGGTGATTGCTTTATCTGGTGAAATGTATATAGAAAAATTGTTTTCAGGTGTTGTTTGACTTGATATAATATTTTGCGAAGAGTATTATGCTTGCTCAGCTTGTTCTATTATGTTTAAGTATTTATCCTCTAAAAATGAAACTAGAAAATTTTCTTTTTTTTCTTGTCCTTTAATCCATAAATAAAAGATGTATTGTCTAAGAATGTTGGTTTTGATAAAGGTGATATAATTGACATTCAGAATTTTAGCAATGATATAATCTATGATCGAGTATTGGGTTGGATCTAAGGTGGGATTCATGGTGACTTCTTGAATTGAAGTAATATTAAGGAGGATTTGTATTGTCTATAGTTTTCATTGTTAATTGTATTTGTCTGATAATTGAGCTAAGGTCATTATAATGTATGCTTCTCTCTTCTTAGTAACCTATAAAAGTTTATGTTTCCTTATAGACATGTTAATTATGTAATAGGAAGTAAGTTGACTATGTTTGGTATTGTTGTGTTTTACTAATAATTATTGCTATGTTTTCTTAGACATGTGTTGCAGATTTGTTTATTTCTTATTATTATTTTGATAATATAAAAAAACCTTGTTATTTGTTGTGATGTATTAATAATATTTATTTTATATATATATTGTTAATCAATCAATAATAAATATATGGGATTATGGGATTATTGTTAATTGATTTGTGTAAATACATAGAAAATATATTAACATTGTTTATTTGATATGTTTTTTGAGTTTGTTGTAAAAAATATATGTGTCTGTATTTACATGATATAATATTATTGAAATGCTATTATTGTAATATGTATACTTCTTTACTATATAGTTAATGAAGCTTGGATATCACTTTAGGTTTTATGAGTATTTGAATTTGGATTGATTTATCAGTTTGAGTTATTGCTTGTAAAACTTTTCTTGATGTCTAGAAAGGTATTAACCTGTACTAACCTGGTTAGAAGCTTTGTAAGGTTGATGTTGAGTTTCCAAGAGCTTACTGTGATTCAATTTTTTTTGTTGGTTTTCTTTTTCTAAAAGAAAAAATTTATATAGTAAAAGTTAGTAATTTTGTAAAACTTATCTCTTTTGTATTCTATAAAGAGTTCTTGAATTTGTTTTTGTAAGTTATTTAATTGTAAAGATGATTTCTCTTATATTTTTATCAGGTTTTTCTTTTTCTCAAAAAATTATCAAAAAAAGAAATTTTCTGAAAAATTGGGAATTAGTGGAAAGAGTTTTTTTTTAACTTAATTTTTATTAATAAAAAACATGTCAAATAATATTTTTGATATAAATAACAAAGTTTTCAAAGAAAAAAGAATTAATTATAGAGTATCTGAAAGAGATAATAAAGAAAATCTTTTTTAAAATTTAAATTAAAATAAAATAAATATTTTAATCAAATATAAATTTTTTGAAAAAAAAATTATTTATTTGATTATTTTTTTTAAAAAAACAGACTATTTTTTCTTTATTTTATTGTTCTTTTTTTTTTTAATCTTAACAATTTATGATTTTTTGAATCAATTAATGCTAATAAATTATTAATAATCTTAATAAATAGAAATAGATTTAATTTAATTAGAAAAGTGTTATATTATTTTTAAAATTGAATTTAAAAATATTTATACATAAAAATAAATTGAAAAATCTATAATTATTATAGATCTTTAATCAATTTTTAAATAAAAGATTGCTAGTATAACAAGATTACAAATTAAAAAAATAATAAAATTTTTTATTTTATTTTTATTTTAAATATACTTTTAATACTGAATTTTTTTAAATTTGAATTGATATATGGTTACTTTCAAAAGTTTGAGTCCAGTTATTATGTTTTTATTATAAATTTCAACTTTGATAATTTTTAAATTGTTAATTATACAATTAAAAATTTTGAAATTTATATATATCATATCTTAATACATATTCTATTTCTTATATTTTTCTAAAAAAATTTTTATTAATATATTTTAAAGTTTTATTATTGTTAAATATCCATATTTTTTTATTAATTATTATATGATTTACAGTAACAACCAATTAAAATTTTTCAAAAGTAAAAATTTGATAAAGAAAGAAAATTTTTAACAATAAAACTAGTATCAAAGCATAATCTATATGAATTTTACAATTTTTGATTGTAAAATTAAGGATTTAAAAATTGGCAAAATTAAAATTTACAATAAAAACATAGTAAGTGGACTCAAACTTTTAGAAGCAACTGTAAACAAAGTTATAAATATAACAAGATTAAAATTTTATTGTTGTGAAAAAATTTTGATTGATAAAATAATTTATTTGGTTTAAACTTTTAATACAAGTCCAAATTAATTGACAACAGTTCAAACAATAATTCAATAAGGAAAAAGGATTTCCATATATAGCTCTCGACAGGTAAATCCGGACTTGTTTCTCCTTGCACCAGGTTTACAAACAAAAAATGTCCATTGTGCGTGGTGCAACCATTAAGCAGTGATCAATATCATTGGAAATGGGAGCAGTACAAAAGAGTAGCACTTTGCTTTATATAGATACATGAGATACATGATAGTCAATTATTTAATTTTGGCAATTTAAGTTGTCAAAAAAAAAAAAAAAATTGTAATCATCTCTGAATGAACCTAAAATTATAAATCATAAGTACAAATTTAGGCGCTCGTTTCCGAACTCCGTATATTGTTGGTGCACATATGTACCCACATACAATCCACAACCTTGCTAAACAACAGTTTGGGACATTTTCGTGAACTAATTCTAACCAAATGCCACTTTCGCCTCCTCCTAGCAGTCAGCCAACTAAACCGAAATCTGCATTAGATGTCGCAGTCAACAAATTGGTTAGAGCATCCGTAGGCGGTGTTCCTTCTACCATTTGTGACGAGGACTTGGACAAGTATGTGGCTGAATTAATATTGAAAGAGGCTTCAGAGAAGAATAAGTTATATAACAAAGAGGGGATTAGAGCATATCTGCCGAACGCAGGAAGGTGAGTAAGACCGCAAATATTGATATGAAATCACGTTATTTTTATACTTGTTTTTAATTTGACCCGACGATTCCCCTTAGTCCACCTTGCAATGCCCCAAAGGCGAACAAACGATTTTTGTTTAACTTTGTGAAAAATGTAGACGATCATAATCAGGCGTTGATAAAAAAAACCGAGGAAGAGGCGGCAGCCCGCATGCGCAGACTAAGGCGTAAACTACGAGGTTTTCCGGAAGATGACGAAGACGAAAAATATGAGAGCAATAAGAATGAACATAAAGGGTCAAGGTGGGACGATCATGCTCGTCGTGATTACAATGATTCCAATACCGATTGCGAAAGCGATGATGATGATTATTCGGATATGGATACATCGTCTTCGAGGTATGAAAGATTTTGCGATATCGCCTCTTTACGCAGATTTCGTGTTATCGATGGTATATTAATCTTCTTTTTCCTACCAATAGTGAAGAATATGTGGGAAAAGCATCTTTAGCGGGCTCTTCTGCGAGCAATAATACGATTATACACAAAGGACGTGGGGAAGTCAGTGATGGTACAAAGATGGATAAGTATTTTCGTGAAGATTATAATCCTGTGAATGACATTGAACCTTTTATTAAGGAAAATGGGTGGAGTAGTTTTAACGAATGGAGGGCACAGACAATGGGGGCGATGAAGGCTGCAATGACGACAGCGACAACAGCGACAACAGCGGCGACAGGGATGACAGCAACGACAGCGGCGACAGGGATGACGGCGGCGACAGGGACGACAGCAACGACGGCAACGACAGCAACGACAGCAACAACGGCAACGACAGCAACGACAGCAACGACGGTAGCGGCAGGGACGTCAGCAACAACAGAGACAACGGAAAAGACGAGTAAGGTTGACACCAAGAAGAAGAAGAAAAAAAGTCACAAGGAAAAATCAAAACATAAAAAGAAGAAACACAAATCTAGTAGTAAATCAAAAAAGAAACGAAAAAGAGACACTGATTCGGATCTTTCTTCAGATTCTGATAGTGATTCAAACTCCGATACACGTAAGAAGAGGAAGAAGGATGGTGGTGGCGAAAATAAAGAAAAACAACGCATAATTATACGTGAATGGGATATACCGAAGTTGGCATCAGGTTCATGGAATATTGAAAGGTTTATGCAGTCAGCATCAGCATCAACCTCCACCTCCAACTCGACCTGCCCATGGTAAAAAAAAAGAAAAAAAAAAAGACGGAAAAACAAAAAAAAAAAGACAAACGTATATATAAATTGTCAGGTTTTGGTAAATTTACCGATGTTATTTAAAAATAAATTATATCGATATAATAAAGTTGATTATTTTATATCTGATACAAATTGACAATTAAGTGTTGTGAATTTTCTAAATTCAAGTATTAAAAACTTGACTTGTTCCTTTTGATTAAAATCCTAAATCGAGCATCTTGGTAATTATCACACGTCCCAAATAGGGTCGTACAAATGTCAGCCAATCGAAAATAACGATGCTGATCATCTGAAGATTTGCTTAAGAGAAAAAATTTTTCGAGTGATCCAAACCCTCTTCCAATTTCGACTTTGATATTTCGTATGTATCGCTGTGTCAAATGAGAAAAAAATAATTTAAATACTCATCTGTTATATCATTCTTGCAGTAAGAAAAAATGTCGGCCGATTTGATTTGGTATCGAGATAAAATTCATAATTTTATTAGACTTTTTGTTTTGTTTTTTGTTTTTTTTTAAATTTGGATCGATTATGCTTCTATTGCAGGTCTATTGTTAAGAACAATAATTCATTCTTGGTTAAGCGTAATGGTGCACAATTTACTTTTGAACCTAATAATTTAACCAACTTGAATTCGTTCAAATATTCTGGACTTGCAAATAATAAAGTTTGTATATATTCTCAAAGGCTGACCTATCAAAACGCAATTTCCTACAGAGACTTTGTACTAATCGGTTTAAAAAAAAAAAAAATAGACAATTGGTGTAAGCTCTTCCCCCGATAAAAGAGGTGTGGTCGTTACCTCTAAAAAAACCCGGGTTTCGTCTTCGAAGCCAGTAGAAAGTGTTCATAAGGTTACCCTTTCAAAGGGCATCCGTAAATCAGCGAAGAGTTTTACCAACTCTTATACCCGTGCCGGATACCGTCCTGATTTGCGCAAGGTTCGGCATTAATAATTTTGTCTTCGTTATGATGCCAATCACGTCGGAAACCTCCTCAGTTATAAGGATAGGATGATAGGATTTTTGCAATATTGCTAGAGCTCATGTGAATTATTTAATATTTTGAAAGATGAGCGTACATTTTGAATTGCTATAATAATTCTTTCCCGGTGTAACGATGTCGCTTTCTCCAATGACTTGATATGGATTCGTGGTTTCAAACTAGGAGCGTAAAAAAAAATATATATATATATAATTTTTTCTAACCTGCTGGTCTTCATCTAATTAGGAAGCTTTGGCTCGTATCTCGGCCATCTACCAATCTCAGAAGCCAGTCAAGGTTCACGCGCGAAAGACCGGTAGACGTCATTCCAAAAGGCAAAAATAGAATGATAGAATGACGATGATGCATCAATTCCACCTTAACGGAAGCGCCCTATGTTTCGAGAAATAGCAGTGACCAAGTGACTAATAAAACCAATTTCACGATAGTTGATGTACTGTGTCTTCATTGGAACTATATCGACTTGATCAAAAACAAATACAAAATTTGCTGTTTATTACATTTCTAGGCATCCTTGCTTAGTGCTTAATTGAAGTATTACAATAGATAACACTGAAGCAAGAGTTCACATTGGTGGTTCTCAAAACCTCATATATAAAATAAACTAAAACGGTACCATTATACGGGTAAATTAAGAAAGGGATTTATTTATTACTAGTGAGATGGAATAATTCGTTCCGTCCTATGCGGAACATCGAACTAATCTGCTTCGCCTGCTCTTGTGACGAAAAAATTCGCATCTCTTATGAAATATTTAAAGGGAACGCGTGCGTAATACACCATAATGAATTTATTAATCGATAAACTTCCAGGTCACGTGGACTCGCCCTTTGACGGGCTTTGCAATGCGATTAAAGGCAGTTGGGGAAAGATCTACGATCAAAGGTTTGGTAAAAAAGACATCCTGCATGTATATTGTTTATAATAATTTAATAATTTAATTACGCACCTATACTTCCATAATTACATCCTTCACACCGATCCACAATGATGACTTTCACCGACTTCTTTCCGCGAGTGACTTTCGCCCGTCGCCCACAAAATTTGTTATTATTAGGGTTATCGCCGGGAGATTGGGCCGAGTCATAAAGCTCTTTGGAAATGGCTGCCACCAGTTGATCATTTCTGTTAGTCCTTCCACATGAACCTAACCCTACATCATAAAAAGTTGCATTCCCGGAGAAACCTCTCTTTGATAACGATGGAAAACCATCTCGTTTCACACGCAATAATTGCTCGGAATTGTAGAGATTCACGTTGAACGTCAGCAAAAGAAGGATGGTCACGAGGACAGAAGTTTTGATATTTTTTAAAAGGGACATTGCCATTTATTATCGTTTTTATGCAGTTTTACCGTGTGAATGTATGAATGTATTTTATCGAAATATGTGACTAAAGTCTGTTCCGCCTTCTAAGCGGCGCGAAAGTTTCTGCAACAAATTATCAAAATTTGAAATGAAAAATTTCAACCATTTTTCCAATAGAGTTTCTCTATTTATTTGAAATAACGGTCAGACTGTGTTTGATATTCTCGACTTTGCATAAAGTAATATTCGATTACTCGATGGTTATTTGTTTTTCAGAAAGGATCTTCAATCCATGCGCTATGTGCGTGAAGAGAAAACGGTTTAACTTCTTCGTGTATGAAAGATCCTCCATTCCATGAGTGGTTTTGCATATTTTTTCGCTAAGAAAATGGCTGCATGCTACAAATGTGCTTACTAAATTAGGTGGCGTTGTATAAATGCTGAAACGACGATAATCTAGATTAGCAGAATATTAATTCAATTAATTAAAACCCATTTTAACTAGTGAAGTTTATCTTATCAATAATTGGAGGGTCAAAAATTTTTTCTATCATCGAAGCTTTCTATTAATAGCCTGCCAGTACCCTATAAACGCTAAGCCTTTGGCAATGCTGATTTTTGTTTTTTTAGCACATGACACAACTCTATAATTAAAATATCACTTACAGTATATATATTCTAATTAATTTTTGAAGTATAATGCTCGTGCACAACTATAACTGCTTCTGCTAGAATCTAAAATTCGATTATACGAAATAGCGTAAGAACGTTTCACTTTATTTATTTAATATAAAAATACTGCATGAAAAATAATTGTTATTCATAAAATTCTTTATAATTTATTTTAATTCATTGGATTTATTTATTAATTAAATTATATGTATATGGTTTTTTTTTATTGAGATATCACAATATTTACATGAACTCGTCAATTAGGTTGTATCACACCATCACTTCATATATTATTGCAAATATTTTTTGAAAAAAATTTTTATTATTTAAATTATCATATCAAACAATTATATTGTATTACTTTTATTTCTATAGAGTTTTTTTTAAACTGAGAATATTTGATATCCTCTCTTAAAAGAATTATACTGTAGACTTATTTTCTTATTAATATTTATTATGCATCATATCTTTGATACTGTAAATATATATAGTATAAAAAATATTACTTTTTAAACTAAACTAATTAATTTATTTAATAAAATTTTTGATTTTACTCTATTAAATATATTGATTCAAGATAATATATTCAAGTTATTTGAAACTTAGATTTAATATTAAAAAAACTTGTTGTTTTTTTAAATAAAAAACTATTTAAATTATTATTTTATTATTAAATAATTTTATAAAAACTTATATATATAGTTTAAAACAAATCTTTTTATCTTTGTAAACTTTTTTTACCAATTTTTTAACAATATATAAAAAAGATATATATAAAAATTTTTATTTTTTTATATTAATAAATTTTATTATTTTCTTTAAAACAATCAAAAATATTATTAAAAGTCTTCTTCTTTTATTAATATTATTTTTTGTACAAAAAACTTAACTTAATTTTCTATAATTAAAAATATAAATATATTTTTATTTAAGCAATATGATATATTCTATAACTAAACATTTTTATCAAATCTAATAAACCTATTATTAACAATAATAGTCTCTAAGTTTGATTTTAAGAATAATATTTTTATTTATAATAGTTTTTGGATAAATATTCTTCTAGTCTATTACTTTATTGTTAGCAGGTTATCATTACTATATATCTTATCAAGCCATTAAAATATATACTAGTTAAAAAATATTTATTTGATGTAATGTTACTGAATTAATTTTCTAATAAAAACTAGTATTTATTGCTTATTTGCGGAAAAAAAAAAATCATATTTTATAAAAAATTTAAATTTAAAATTAATTATAATAAACTATATATATAAATTTATTATAATTTAATATAAAAAATTATATATGAAAACAAATTCTTTCTACTAATTCATTGACCACATACAAAAAAATTTTTCACAAGAAGTTTTTACTTTTTTGCTAATAAAGTCCTTAATACTTTTCTTAAAAACATCTTGAAGAGTGACTTTAACACTAGTCGAAAAAAATTTGTTCAGCATACTGCTACTCGTGTAACATTTGGCAAAAAAATACTACCGCTCGTATAATATTCAGCAAAAAATGAACAATTTGGCAAAAAAAAATAACATAAATAAATCGACAACTACAAAAATTGACAATAAAAACTATTCATTAAAAATTCATCAAAAATTCATTAACTATTCATTTACTATTCGTTAACTATTCATCAACTATATTTGTAACTATTCATCAAAAATTCGTTAATCATTCGTTAATCATTCGTCAACTATTTATCAACTATTTGTCTATTATTTTGGTAACTATTCATAAACTATTTGTCAACTATTTGTCAAACATTTATCAATTATTCATCAAAACTATTCATCAAAAATTCATTAATAATTCATTAAATTATTTATTAACTATTCATTTAAAATTCAGCAACTATTCATCAACAATAAAG